TAGGAGTCTTAAAAATCAAACCATTTTAAAAGGAAAAATAAAAGAAAAAATACGATTAAAACCAAAGTTACTTTTTTTTTCACAAGTTGTGACATATTTGTGACGTTCAGCCAGTGGATGTTTACTTCCTGAAGCACCGCCTACATCCAGTTTGATCGTTATTTAATTTCATGAAATTGACCTGTAATGTACCTCAAAAAACGTGCTCTTTTCTCCTTTTTTTTCATATAAACAAAACAAGAATCTTTATCAAACTATCACAAATCACAATATTTCTCATGAAAAAAACATCCATCACTTACTGCATATGTACATCACAATAATACTGATGTGTTTTTACATTTGTAAATATTCTTTTCTCACTTTGATTTATTTTTTTATTTTTTGGTTTCAGTCAATGTAGATTTTTTTTTCCCCTTTAACAACAGTCGCTCTTTAAATTAAACACCTGATATTTACACCTGAATGAAACAAACACTGATAAACACTGCAGTCCTGTACTTTCCTGACACAGTTACAGGTAACTGATCTCCAGAACTGAGTTCTTGTCCAGCAGTTCTTCAGGCTGTGACCTGCTGTTTCTGACGTTACTGACCGCTGCCGAAACTGGAGGCTTTCCACCTCCATCTGCTGGGTTTCTGCTTGATTCTGCTTTATCTGACGCCATCTTACACGTCTGCCCCAGCTGTGTCACACTGTTGCCCGTGACGCCACTTTGACCTCCGACCTCTGATGGCTCACAGGTATCTCTTATCTCCCGGGTCCTGTCTTCTGCGTGGCCGTCGTCTTTGTCTTCGTTCTCCGTTCCTCGGTGAATGTCGCTGACTTCTTCACTTTTTATTGTCTGAAGCACAATACCGCCCCACTCCTCTGTGGGGCGCTGCACCTCGGTGCCGGCCCTGTCGTTGTTCTTCACCCTGCGTGACGTGCGGCACAGGGCCTTCCTGAAGCCTCTCTTGAAGTTGTCGGACAGGAAGCCGTACAGAATGGGGTTAGCGCAGCTGTTAGCATAAGACAGCACCACCACGAAAAAGTAGAGGCCCCTGAAGTCCCGGGGCAGAACCACCACGAGGTTGACGATGTTCAGAGCGTAGAAGGGAAGCCAACAGAGGACGAACACCGCCACCACTATCACCACCATTCGGGTGATCTTACGCTCTGACTTCCTGCGGCGGGAGGAAGTGGCCTGTGCTCGCTTACCAACACTTCGTACCTGTGACAGAAAGAAACCACCCGTTGGTTTACATGTAACCACTAAAACAACAGAAAAAAAAATACTAACATTTCTTTCTGGTCTCTAAGGTTTATTTTTAATTAAGTCTGTTTGGGAGAATCTGTTTTGTAATTTATTTGATCATTAGCAGCGTGTAAACAAGAGACGGTGATTTAATCTTCCTGGAGATGAAAATACAGTCGTCGGTCTGTGAGTCGGGGCGTCGTCCGTAGATATTTGTGTTTCTCCGCTGAATAATGCGATGCCGTTAACGCTACTGTATTTTTTATAAGCCAACTTTGTTTTTGTACAAATGAGCTGCAAGAATCAACAGATAATGATCCGCCGTCGAGGGTCATTAGCGGTTTTCTTACATAAACACGTGTATTATTAAAATCATTACATTACAGATTTAAGAAGAAGTTTTTACTAATTTATATAAGGACTGAGGAACGATTCTCCAAAGAGCCAATCACTGCAGCTGAATGTGTTTTTATGGCCACGATGTTTTCCTGTAAAACAGTGTCTCACGGCTCTGCTCACAGGCCACTAGGGCAGACATGAGTTTATATACACATATATAATATACATATATAATATATATAATATCTCTTAGCTTATCATTACTAGCAGAGTCTTCCAGAGTGGAGCTAATGGAGGATTGACCAATAAAAATGTAGTATTACTGGCCTATTATGATGTATGGGAAAAGTCTAAATGTTTGTATAGATGTGCACAAAAAGTTTCAGACACCAAACCCAACCGTC